GTCTCAGGGAGACACAGAACACAGGCTGCTGTCAGCACTCTGGGACCCGCATGAGCCCCTGGAGCTGGAGGCCACAGAAGCCCCACCCCGGGGTACTCCCTCACCCCCCCACAGGGTGCCTCCATGCTGAACACCTTCTCCCCCGCAGCCATCCCTCTCCACCCAGCCACGCAGCCCCCTCACCGCCTACCTGGAGGGCACCAGCAGCAGGTGAGTGATGGAGGCAGATCCCCCTTCCTGAGCACTGCCCCCCAGCACAGGAGCCAGGGGGATGACTCCCTGCACCGCCCGCTCCCTGCCGCAGCCTCCTGGGCAGACAGAGACCTGGGCCACAGCAGTGCCAGCCTTGGGCAGCAGTGGAGCTCAGCCTCCAGCACGGACACAGCCTCCTCGCTCAGCAGTGCAAGCAGCTGCAGCTCAGAGGATGGGCTCCCCTCCAGCCCCCGCCGGGGCACCAAGGTGAGGGACCTGCCCCCAGCCCAGCATCCTGGGCTGGGGAGAGGGACATAGGTCTGCTTGCCCACAGCTCCTGGGCTCGGGCCCCTCACCGTGGCATCTGTCACCCAGCAGGCCCCCAGCCCCCCGACAGGCAAGGCAGAGGGACCCCGCTGCTCTGCCAGGCACTTCAGCAAGAGGAAGCTTCCTGCCTTCGCACTGGAGGTAACCAGCAACTCCCCATCCGGCGCAAAGGACCAGGCTGGGGCACACCCACACCCCATGCTGGCCCCTCACCCCTGCTTGTCTCACCAGGGGTGCGAGAGGAGAGAGGAACCCATGCCCCCCTGCCCCGTGTACCGGCTGGTGCTGGCAGGGGACACAGGCACAGGGAAGTCCAGCTTCCTGCTGCATCTCTGCACGAGGAGACATCTCCGGAACGCTTGGTACCCTCCCCCCTCCCCGCACCCCAGGTACCCAGGGCAGGGCAGAGGCACAGGAGCAACACTTGACTGTCCCTCCCGGCAGGGGTGGACTTCCAGATAAAGCAGCTACTGGTGGATGGAGAGCAAACCACATTACAGATCTGGGACACAGCCGGGCAGGAGAGGTGAGGGGGCTGGGGCTTCTTCTGCCATGCAGGGCCAGCCAGGGCCAGGTCCTGCTCCGGCAGCAGCCCCACAGGCTGGCAGTCACTGCACCAGCAGCAAGGCAGCCCTGGGGTGGCAGGCCTGGCCCAGCAGGCCTGGCCCAACCCCACAGCAGTGACATCCCCGGTCCCAGGTACCGGAGCATCGCCCAGTCCTACTTCCGCAAAGCCCACGGTGTGCTGCTCCTCTACGACATCAGCTCCCAGAGCAGCTTCCTCAGCATCCGCCAGTGGATTGAGGACATCAGGGTAGGGGAAGGGTCTGACAGGTGCCCAGCCCCCACGGAGAGGGGCAGGAGCCTTGAGGCTTCCTCATGGAGGGCTGGGCTGTGCCCCAGACAGTCCTGGGGGAGCAGGAACAAGACAGGAGTGAGCCAGGGTGCTTGCTAAGCAAGGTGTGGGGCCAGCCCCTGGGAGCAGCTGGAGTGCTTCCCCCCAGCCTCTTGTGCTGGTGTTTGTGCCAGGTCTGGAACCGCACTCTGCTCCCGGGCATGGCACAGGCATGATGGGAGGCAGCCAGTGCATGCAGCAGAGCTCTGCGGCTCCCGGAGGAG